CTCTTTTAAGCCTCACTTCTGTAAATACCTCAATATTCCTGAAAACTCAGAGTACTTAAATCTTTCAAAATCTCCCCTTATTTAACCAAGCTGGACTAGAAGCCTACTGCGGTACCATTTTAAAAACATCTTATAAATCACTACCTGTGAAAATATTCATATAGAGTATTTACACATGCATTTAAGAGAGCTAATATCCTAGGTATTGGCACTTTTCAAGACACAAGAGAAAAACAGGATTTGCTAATCAGTATCAGGCCACAAGACATTTTTAGTCTTTCTAAGTACTCCTACGTAATATTTTTTTTAAATAATAATTGCCTTTAAGTGCAAGCAGTTGTACAGGAAAAGGCTGCTTCCTAAACTCTGCTCTTTTCAGTCGGCACCCTTTCACAAGCTAAATATTTTACAGAGGCAGCATCTTTATGATGCTTAGGGCTGAACCCTTTCCTTTCTGTAGTCGTGTCTCATCATTTCCGAAATCTCATTCAATATACGTGTTTTAAAAACTTGGCTTGTCTCAGGTCTTCGAGCCAGCAAGGTGGGGGAGAAAAAAAAAAAAAAGAAATGATCTGCACCTTTCTTCAGGAATAGTGATCTACTTATCTTCCTAGCTATTCAGTGGTACTTTTAAAGTCTGCAGTACATTTACAAATGAAATCAATACCAAGGTTGGGCGGTGGGGTGGGTAGACTTTTATGTCACCATCCTCCCTCTCCCTGATAAGGTTCTAGATGTGTTTAAGGGCAAAAATCCCACCCCAATATATTAGTTTTGTTAATCCTTTTCCTATGATCTCTTTGCCTGACTAGGAAAATTATGTAAAAAGTAAGAAAAGTTCTAATTCAATTTCCATGTTAAGAGATGGATTTGAAAAAAATAATAAATCAGAAATCATATTCTTTGTGTTTACTAAGAGATATGCACTCCAGTATTTAGTGTCATGAAGCTGGAGTTAAAACCAGAAACGGTGAAGATAATTTAGCTGCATGAATGCCTACTCTTCAGTAAAATGCTGCCAAAATTAAATAGGAATGAAACAGCACTTTGTAGTCATTGGTCGCTCAGCAGGGTTTGCGTAGTTAAAAACCTAAGTGAAAAGGGTGATTGACCTACATTGCTACTAGCTTAGCACAGCTGTACTTTCATATTTTCGTTGCATCCGAGGAAGCTCATTATTTAATACAACTGAGTTACATGTAATTGTTGGTCTTTCATTTTACACTTTTAGGGGCCAGATACTAATCTCAAATGTGCAGCAGGCATTATCATGCATCTGGAAATATCTGTGGCTGCCCATTTGCATGCAAGGCTAAAAGAGAGGATTGCACATAGTTACACCTGAAATTAGGAGGCTGCCCAGGGGTAGGAGGACCTCACAAATATGCAGAAATCAAATGAACAGATGGAAGAGAAAGCAAATCCCTTGGCACCCCAAAGGCAAATGCTCTGTTGTTTCCCTATTGTTTTGAGCAGAAGCAGCCCAGAACACACAATCAAAGCACATTTCACACAACTCATACCTGCAGTTTAAATAAGTAATAACATTCCAGTTAACAACTAGTTTGACATGTTAACAGCCCGAGGGCTGTTAACACAACGACTGGTCATTAATGGCAGTAATGACAGATTTTAAAGGGAATATTGTGCTTGTAAATGGACATGCTGCCAGTCAGAAGAGAGGACAGAGCAGGATAGGCTGATACATTAAGATGTCACCGTACAGCTCTGGAGGGAAAAAGAAAAGGGAAAAAAAGAAACCTTTCTTGCATATTTCACTTACTGTAAATGGACTTGAAATATTGGTGTAAACCTAAGTTCCTTAAATTAAGTCTTCACTTTCTAACCCAAGAGTGTATAAGCGGGAGACAGAAGCCTGCAGGGGAATTATACTCTGCATATCATTTTCAACGAGTGCGTTATTTCTAACATTGAGTCCTGCCTTTACTCAAGTCCATTCTCCTCCTCGTTAACTTCCCTGCGGCAGCCACCGTAACACCCTCGGTGTCGTACTCCACCTCTCAAACCACTGAAGTGACTTACATGACTTAGATTCCAGGGTAAAGCCTCTCACATCCAAAGCATCTTCCAAGCTCATCACCTCATTAAAGATTTCTTCCAGCCCCTCAGCCACCTCCAATCCAGAGAAAAATGTTTTAATACAGTAAAATTAACTAATTTTACCAACGGAGAGAGCTACAGTAAAGCAATTTTCAAAGTTCTGAAGATAACAGAGTATTTATAAAAATCTCACCAAAGTGCATACCTCAGGGCTCAAAGGCAGAACAAGAGCGTGCATTGGGGCCAAGGGAGCATTTAGTTTTTTGGCATGCATCTCCAAGTGACAGATACTAGAAGTGTCTTTGCAAATAGCCAAAGAGACAATCACACAGTTTGCAAATTTAACCATGAATGTTAAAGCCCCCAAACTGGCTACATTATTGCTTATAGCATCTGTAGAATGGCTGTCTTATTGAGAGACAAGTTAATAAGCAATTTTACTCTTTATAGTATTACGCAAGCCATATTTCCTCTAGAGGGCACCACATAAATTAATAGGGAGCTAGAACAGTTTTATATGTAGCAAAGACTCCCTTTATGGTTAAAAAGAAAAATATAAATTAAGAGGATAGTTTGAAACTGTAATCGAACCCTAATCTCATCATTAGCACAAAGTAATTTGTTCTTTAAATTCATATCAAGTGAGGTGCTAAATATGAAAGCTTATTTGACTACAAAGCTAGAGAACATTTAACTAGTTTCTACATTAGCATTAAAAAGATGACTTTTATAGGTTCACTGCATAACTAAGTAGATAAGACGCAACGAGGCAAATGACTATCTGCAATTACCTTAAGTGCATCAGTTTGAAGTTTAGTGTAAATACCAAGTTTAAATCTATGCACTCACAAGAATCACTAAAAAAAGGCTCATGACAAGATACCTTCATTAAAACCTGATAAACCTGGAGACAAAAATCAGAAACATCTTAAAACTGATTATAGGAGATTCCTCATGTATGCTGGTTTCACTGTTGCAAAATGTCGTGTATGAACAAACAACTGAAACATTTTGAATGTGGTCATGACATAAAAAATACAGTCTCCTTTCTCTGAGTCACTTACTATGAATTTTAACAATCTGTAAGCAAAATATTTTCTCCTGTTAGACCTTCAAAGACGAGAAAGCAACAGTGCGTGTGCATCATCTGTTCTCAGGAAATGCTTTGCTTATATCCCTACTACTAGATCACTTTTGGGTTTTATTTTAAATATTTTATTTTAAAGCAGTAGATCTGCTGCACAAGCACTTCGGAGATTGAGTAAATTCAAAGTCTTCAGTAAATTTGGAACTCAGATCAAAGAGCCATAGCAGAGTTTTCCCACTCCTGCAGGAGTGTTGTTGAAAGATTCCTAAAATAGGTGTCAAAAATTATGGTAAGTGTTGCCTTCCCTCCAGAAGCTGCTCTAACCCCATTTTCTAGACACAGGCTTTAAGATCACAAGTGGTCTATGCTGATGCACAATTCCCTTCTATTCAAACAGTTCCCTGTCAGTTTTTAAAAGTAAGGGTTGGTTGGTTACTCCTTCGGCAGTTTTAACGCAATGGCTTTAAGATGCAGGCTCTATGCTAAATTGCCAACATTCTATCTTGTGTTCAGTTTAGAGTTTTAATGGGTAGGAGAGCACTTTTACCAATCAGTAGTCCAAGCCCACGTCTGAAGAACCCTGATTTGCCCTGCAGCCCCAGCTCAACAAAAGCACAAGGCATTTGAGACATTTCGTCTTTCACTCTAGAAAAAGCAGGTTGTATTGCGGAGAGCCAGCCTACCAACAGTTGCTAATAATGTTTTAGTCTCGATTCCTGTTCCAGTCTAACCATCCTGTACAACTTGGGAACGGATCAGCATGTAAGGACCCCCTATTTGGCACCTGTGCTTACACTGAACTTGTTAACACATTCAAAGAGAATTTTAATTTTTCCCCAATGTATTACTGACTTGAATGTCCCTTTAAAAGGAAAAAGCTTCACTACCGGGGCAGGGGAAATATTCCCAGAAGTTCACGTTAGCCTGGAGCAGCTAGTCTCATTAGGCCCCCTCTACTGGGAATGGAGGAAAGATGCTCCTATAGGAAACAGGTGCTCTGAATCACCCCAGAGGAGCCTTTTCTCTCTATTTACTATCGAGAGCCTAAGGAGACTAAACTTCCTGAATAAACCTGGCTCTTGCAAAGTAGCCCTATTTATTAATGTACAATCTGCAGATAAACTGGCCTGGTGCTTTGCTACAAACTGCATCTCAAATACTTCTGAGAACATAAGTCCACAAGCAAACAAGAAGACAGAAAAATCAGGTAACGATTTGCTATCTGAGAAGTGGCAACCAATTACCCAGTGTCCCACCCAGGTCACCGAGTTAAATCAGGACCAGAGTGCATTTGAGCCTGCCAGCTACACAGTTATTTAGCAGGGGGAAGACAGTTGGCAAACATCTTGGTCCAGCTGCTAACAGCTAAAAGGCAACATTTGTAAAACGTCCCAGTGTTACAAATTAAATCCCTCTGGCAAATGAAAGGGACGAAAGTGAGTAAGAAAAGACGGGTGAAGCATTCCTCACTTAACACACTTCAAACCCTGCACTGGAGACGGCGAAAACCTCACACCTGGTCTCAGGCCACCACCATGCTGCAAGGAAGAAGAGGAGACCACCACCTCCCTGGGAGCATGGCACTGGGGGAAATGCAGAGGTTTTTACTCTCTTCCTCCTCTGAGCACTGGACCTTAGTATTAGCATTAGAAAAGCGACAGCTGCCTGCATGACCTGGCTACGTGTGCTTTTTGATTCCAACTTTAGTTTTATCTCCATACTGCGATATTTACTTTCTCGTCCTCCATCCATACTCGGCCTCGCAGCCCTTGGGAACCGCTTACGTGACAGCGACTACATCGGAAGGGCTGAAGAGATTTAGCAAGTTTGTCAGCGAAAGGACGCGGCCTACCTCAGGTAGTCTCTGCGACAAAGGATAAGGTTGGCTTTGGTGTACAAGGTGGAGCCCACCTCCCCCAGGCGACAGTCACAGCAGGCACATTTCAGGCAGTCTTCATGCCAATATTTGTCCAGGGCCTTTAGAAGATACCGGTCTTTAATCTTACGGTTGCAGCCAGCACAACCTTTCGGCTTGGTGTCTGGCTGGACTGAGAGCATTTGTATACCTGAAATACAACAAGACAAAAGAAGAGTGAAAATAGATACTCTCTTGAGTGCAAGTCTTGCCCTTTTCTTCCTTCACCTCGCTGCTCCCTCCACACCCAGTTCATTAAACTGGCAATCGTGTAATAGGATGGAATAACCTCAATAGTCCACAGCAAGCTGAAAACAATGTTACGATAAATTTGAGAGCAGAGAGTTCCACTGCTCTAAGTTCCACTGCTTCTCCATCACCTCATTTACCTGGTCTCTCTGCTGAAAAGAAGAAGGATTAAAAAAATGAAATGAAAAATTAGAACAGTCCAGTTGAAGAGTCATTCACTTTCATTCAAAGTATCCAATATTTAGCAATCAAAAATTTAAATAAACAGTATATCCATGTGGCTAAACCTACATACTTGGACCTATTTGCACTATCTTTATAAACTATAAAAGCACTTCAGGCTCAAGAATAAAAGAATGAAGTTACTAAATGGCACAGGGCCAGAGTTTCAGGGAGGTTTGGCATTTTGGTGCTGATCGGAGGCTGTTTTGTTTCTTAAGATTTCAGTTCTAGTTAGACACATGAATGAAGCAACAGAGACTTCAGTACCAGCATCTCTAGTTACAACCTGCAGTGCAAGGACCGTCTGAAAAATCTGATTTTAAATAATCTGCACACGGTCAGAGAACTGCTAGTTTGTCAAGGTAAAAAAAAAAAAAAGCAAATAACACAAGAAACCATAAAAAAAACCCTGCTCCACTTTCCAATCCCAATTTTAGCCAAAAGCTGATTTGTGACAAGGAGTACAGTAGTGTCCATTAAGTATACATATCTTTTGATGAAATAGCAGAGAGCATTTAAATTACAATTCAATACCTGAACTACTGTTTAAGGGAGAGAACTGGTAGAAGTGGAACACAGCTGAACGATGGTATGAAGAGCACTGCAGCCAGCTTCCAGAGATCCATACAAAAATCAATTGCCCTCAGTTCTACAGTAAATGGGGAGAGAAGGTCACTGCCCCAAAGTGCTTACAGACTGGTCTCTCTTGGTTAATAACATGAACTGCCATCCCATTACACTCAGATGAATTCTCTCAAAATCATCTCCTAGAATAAGCAAAATCATAACCCCACGGATGCTTTGCTGGACATCAAACGGGCACCGGTGAGAAAGAGAGAACTGACATGCAGTTCAGTTACTAGGTTATCTCACTACTTTAAAGCCAATCAGAGATTTAACAGAAAAAAAATGCTACTCATTAGAACACATCTGAATATAACAATATAAATCTGTCAAAACCAGGGAACGAAAGCTGTTGCCAGCACGCGAATTCTACCCCAAAAACTCAGAGTATGGCAGCATCCTGTTATTATGCAGAGACTGAGAAAGGTCAAAAAGAGTCTTGTCTACATAAAGAAAAAAAAGGGGAAAAAAAAAAAGAAAATTCAAGGGCTCTTCATCAGGAGTGCTCTACTACCTACTACTAAGATGCTAAGAAATCTTTACAGTCCCAGTTTGCATCAGCAGATCTCAGTCGGTGCTTTAATATACTGCTACAGACAGGCAGGCTCAAGTTGCCAGGACATGAACAAGTTGGGGTTTTGTTTTTTGTTTGGTTTGCAGGTGAGGTTTTTTTGTTTCATAAGGAAAATATAAAAATGAGTGCAATCTTTGAAGCAATGGTACAGCGTGCCTTTGCAGATATTAGCACTACAAAGACAAGAAGCTAAATGTTACGCCAGCTGAGGCATCCCAAGGATCCGTACACATACATGTACATGCAACATGTTGGACTTTTGTGGACCACAGCGACGGTAAAGCCAGCTCAGTGATTTTCCAGGGTTAGCAAGCTGAACTCCCAAGTTTCACCTGCGAAGGCTGACACAACAGCCTTGCTCCCCTCTTTGCAATAAATATTTTTGAGTGATATATTCACCTGTTAAACTAGTCATTGGGTTATATGGAGACAGTTTTCCTTATGGGCACCCCGAAGCACCACTGCAGTACTGACGCGTAACATCTAAAGCTTGCAATAAAATTGTACGGTCTATACTTTTCTGTCAGAAGGTATTAAAAAAAAAAAGAAGACATTTCTGCCTTCTCATTACTCCCCAATCAATGCTACTGTCATAGGTCCTACATCACTCACAGACTCGTAAGATCTGTTTCTTGTTCGCAAGGGGGAGGATGAGACCCAGAGACCTGCACAGGGCTCCCCAATAAGTCTGTGGCAGAGCTGGGAACAAACACACACATCTTGTCTAGAGTGAGCACCATGAGATGAAGGCTGAGCTTTTACAGTATTTTCAGTTATCAGCTCCCTCCGCTGAATCCATGGTGCATATATAAAGCAGCAAATTAACATGGATACAAGTTAGGGACTGAGAGCAGTGAAAATATCAGAGATTTTTGGTAAAGAACCTATACTAGACTGGGAAGGGAAGCCCTGCCGGAACTTTAACACCTTCACTTGGTCGAAAAGCCTTTATCTGTAAAGTTACATATCACAGTAGAGTATTAATATCTGCTAAGTGCCAACAACAGGCTTATTCCCAGACCCTCTCTTCGGCTACAGAGAGGACCAACACGTAAAATCAGCCACAAGTTGCATCAACTTCTTAGGAACTCAGTAAAAAATTCAGAAACACAAAGGGCTGTTCTAGGACTTCAATCTTTAGCTCAAGGGAAACCAGGATAAACTAGGAGTTAATACAGTTAAAGGCTTTAAAGAAAAAAAATCTTAATGGAAAAATTTTGTTCCCTGATAAGGAAGCAGGTTAGAGAGTGCAGGCTGACAGTCTGAAAGGAACAAGGTGCCACTGAAATAAGGCTAAACAAGTGAATATATGAGCAAATTGCACTAATCAAGCCTGGTAGTTCCTGAGGTATACGCTGCAAACACAAGGTTACTATAGTACAAATAAAACCACAGTTTGCACAGTCTTGCACATACCTCTGCACAGTTTTTTGAAACATTTGCTACATGAGGAAGGTAGACAGGGCATCGTTGTTCATGTTAGTTAGCCCAAACCCTCCTTGAAGAGTGAAAAGGGGCAGATGCCCCACAGAAGTAGCATTAGCAACTCTGCATATCTATTTTCCTGTGGCAGAGAGAGAAGGTGGTGCTGACATCCCACTGGCAGCATCTTCAGATTAGGGATTCAATCTGCAGCAGTTTTTGGAGGGAAGGAACGCTCTTCTCTGATATAGTTGATCTTTTTTGCACTTTACTTGCAATGAAGCTGTCCCTATTTTAATGAAAGTAAAAAAAAAAATATCCCCAAACTACTGCTTGATTATAAAACAAAAGTTACTCTTTCTTTTAAGTGTAGAAAGGTTCTAAACAAAACAAAGCATGAAACAGCTCTCCAAGAAGTGTTTTGCATATCTCCACATTCTTTGCATATAACCTGGATTTAATCACTTAATTTTGAAAAAAGAACATTTCATTACTTTTTTCTGTATTGCATGAGCCACCTTAATGCAGATCACCTCACCGACAATCCCTCTTCCCTTTAATGTTCCTATAAGATCTCCAACGCAGTTACACTTTTCAGATATGCACTCATGTATTTTTAGCTCTCTCTTAATTTGGCAATAAGAATACCTGCAGCTTACTGTGAGCCAGCTCTTCACAGGCTGCAGTTTAAGTATCCATTTATTTCTTTGGACACAGGAAGGACCCTTTCAGAGGCTGATAGCACCCACAAAAACCATCCGAACCGCTCACTGCTAAAATACCAGGTAGCGACACAGAGCACCGCTGCCTGGCTGCCTCTTCTCCCCCTCACCCAGGAAAGCAGAGCTTATGGAGCACTTCCAAAAAAACCATACAATTCTTTAAGTGCGACACCCAGGCTGTAAAAAAAAGAAAAAATAAATTAAACCCAGCTTTCCTTTCAGTTCTGCAGAGTCCTACCCATGCTCTGCATCACAGAGCAGATCTGTTCTCAGAACTGAGAAATTTCAGTGCCTAGTCTGTCACTGTCAAACCAAACCTTTTTATTTCACCCCAATATACTTTCCTCCAGCCTTGCCTTCCTCCCACCACCCCCAGTCCTCAAGATACTGCAGAGCTGTGTCAGGAATAAGACTTCTTCATCACCATCCACCACCTTTAAGATTTTTGAAAGAACTTAATAACCTGATCTGCATGGGTTTGGATTCCCTCGGTCTCCCCAAATAAGTTCAATGCAACTGACTCCCGTCCCTGGTTATTATCGTGTGATGAAACACTGTTAACTGATGTGTAACTACAATTTCAGGATAAAGAGGAAAGATTGCTGGAGAAAGCTAAATTAGGCTCCTGGAGGAAGGCAGAGAACTAAAAATCCATTTCACTCCAATCATCACCCTTCTCAAAAATCAAAGAGAATGAAGATTTGACATAACGAATTGTATTTTGTTAGTCATGTAGTAGCATCTGTAAGCAGGATTGGTCCTGGATGATGCTGAAAGCAGCACAAGACCCACAGAATTCAGTTTCTGGTTTGTGGTGCAGACAGCCTTTGAAATGCAAGGGAGGAAGAACTGGATATTTTTATGCACTGGATCACTGAAAAACTTTTAGAGACCACTCTCCCCCGCCACTGCCTCCTTTGCAGAGGCACGCACAGGGTTCTACCAAGGACAGTAATATGTACAGCAAGAAAGAGGAAACTTGCCTCTACTTCTAAAAAAATAAATAAAGAATTAAGTATCAGTACACTGGTCTTTAAAAGACAGCAGACTGACAGGCAATATGCAGTCAACAAGAGAATTACAGAACTAGTAGAAGATAAAAAGAATACTTTTCCAATGCTTTCCCACTTTGTAGATTCATCCTAAAAGCATTCACAGCTCCAATTATTCAGGACAATACACACACAGACTTTAAAAAAAAAAAAAAGTGAAGGTTTCAGAAGCTAAGAAACATTTCAGAACTCGCATGTAGCACATCAAGAGTCGTAACTAGTTTTAGATTGGCATGTAAATTGTTCTGTGGAAAATTCTTATTGCCTCCGAGACCCTGCTATTCT